TCATTTCAGTGTTCAGTTTTGTCACTGTCCTGTTCAATCAGTTATGCAATTACATTTTTGAAAAAAAAGTAGTATGTTGCCTGGAGAGTTAAAAGCGTAAATTTCGTATGTATCTTAGAGATCGGCATGTATTGGAAAATAAGTTTTGTTTGATATATGCAGGATAGATATACGTCTAGAAACATCGACAAATGCGTAATTTGTGGTAAAGGAACCGATTTGTACGTTTAGGGGCGATCAGTACACGCGTTTATAGCAATATATGCTGGGTAGCCATAACAAATCTCAAGTTTCCTTGATGATCTTTCCTGAAAAACTGTGTCATGATACACATGACACAGTTTGAGCAGTAGGGCATATAACAATGCCTGTTTGTCAATATGATAAACAGTAAATGTGTACACGTGGTGGAACTCTAATGTTGTGTTTTAAGTCAAGAATCTCATTTGTTATATATAACAGTAAATAGAACGTATTGAAAACAAAATTATAACAAAATTTTAGTCTCGACTACACCTGATGTAATTGTCGGCACTACTACATCCATAATTTGAATGATATCACGTGACATTATGTATTGTTGTATCACACAGTGCAATGTTCGGCGCATGTGTGAGTCACTTTTATGACCGCAACTGCAGCCTACTTAAGTCTATTAATAAAAAATTACGATTTCATATGTTACAATATACATAACAATGCATGGAAACATCACTTTCCGATTTTTTTCCGAATATTTTTTTTAAAATTTGTGATCGATATTTCGGGTTTTCGTCTGGCCACCAGTTGGCGCAACGATTTGCATTTATCGTACGTGATGACAACTTACTACGTGACATAAGCTTGTAAGTGGAGTTCAAATTGTCTGACCTTGAAAAAAGAAGGGTAAATCTACATGATTGGAATACATGCACATTGATGTTTTTACTATACTGGACCAGGTAGACACTATAATAATCGTATCAACAGTCTGTGACTGTACATGGGCGAAATCGTATTGCCGGTGTTAATGACGAGCTCCGACTCTGAGGTCGATGACACACACTACCTCACACATAGCCTCGTTTCAATGTCACATATTGAGTCATTCGTGTAAGAACTGCGCGTGGATTAGCTTTGACCACCCATCGCTCCGATGGATGTTGATGAAATACTGCAACCATCGGGCAATTTGCTGACGCGTATGTGTGAAGTATACCATATTTGGAGGCAGCGAGTACGAAGAACTTCCTAAACAACGTGTATGTATAACGTTTTCCAGTGTACATATATAAAATAACAGCAGCGGACGGTAAATTGGTA